GCAGTGGGTTTGGTTTGGCAGTGGAAGTTGAAGGTAGAGAATGTTGATGAATGTGCACATATCAGGGAGTGAAATAACAGTTGAGCTAATTTCGTGCACTGTTTGCACAGTTCTGGTAAGTACAAAATACATATGCATATGATATGTAGACCTAAGCTATGAAATAAAAATTGTGTAAATTTGATGATTCTGCATTTGAGTTAAATGCTCTTATGTTTGTATTTAAAACTGGAATTGCACAATATAAAGACAAATGGCAACATTCATGCCAATTTAAATTTTTAAGTTTTCTTCATGTAGAACAGCATTAAATAGCAAAAAACCCACCATAACAAATTGACAGAGATTGCAGAAGAAATGAAAAATGTATTTTTGTACTTTTAATGGCATTCTTCCCTGGTTTTGAACAAAAGGCCCTGTGTAGTATGTAGCCAGCCCTGCTCTTCACTGCTCTGTTCCTCCTGAGGCAGCTCTTGAGCCTTTCTTTACCATAACCCCCTTCCTCTGATGCCCTCTGAGGACTCCCACTGATTTCCACTGATTTGTAGGGCACCGCTGCTCTCCAGCTTCCTCTGCTGCTTCACTTGTGGAATCTAGAACTGGACCAGGACAGACTTAGCAGTAAATCAGGGACTCCACAAGTACTGTAGGAAGGGTTTCTGCCACAGTGAGAGATGACATGAATTCTAAAATCCGTTCTAACTTGTAGATTCTGACTCATCTTGGGGGAGCAGCCAAATGCTTGAATCTCTTATCTGGCACTATTGGTTCTTCCTTTGATTTGCTCTGGAAAACTGAACCCCAGAAACTGTTTTTGACAACTTGGTTCTTGCTTATCCTCTTCTGCCACTCCTTAGTTCCATGATGCTCTTGGAGAACTTGGTACATGGATCTATTCCAGCACATACTGGTGAATTTGAAGGGATATGTGGTAGGCTGAATTATGGCACCCCAAGACACTCATGTCCTAATCCCTAGAACATGTGAATTCTACTTTATGTGATAAGAAAGACTTTGCAGATGTGATTAAGGATCTTGAGATGGGGAGATTATCTTGGATTATCTGAGTGGGCCCTAATGTAATCACAAGTGTCCTTACAAGAAGGAGGCAGAGGGAGACAAAAGAAGGCAATGTGATGATGGAAGCTGAGAGGTTTGAAGATGCTGCACTGCTGGCTTTGAAGATGGAGGAAGGGGCCAAGTGCCAAGGAATGCACGCATTTATGCTCTAGAATCTGGGAAAAGCAAGGAAATAGATTCTCCTCTAGAGTCTCCAGAGGAGTGCAGCTCTGCAACACCTTGATTTCAGCTCAGTAACCTGATTTCAAACTTCTGACCTCCAGAACTGTAGAATAGATGCGTGTTGTTCTAAGCCACCAAGTTTGTGGTAATTTGTTACAGCAGCTATAGGAAACAAATACAGATGATAAGGAAGTGTCAGCCCAGGTTAGAAAGGAATTGTTTGAGAGACTCTCATAGCCATTTGATGCAGTTACTGAACAAATGCAAAAACTAACTCCAAGTTCTTTGTTCTGTCCATAGCACCTATAGTTAAAGCTAGCTTCTAAAAAAGAAAAGCTGACTTTATAAAAAAGAATCAAGATCTAACGTTACTTGTGAAAGATGGTGAAGAAGGAATTTCCTGTATTCTCACTGAATCAAGTCCTTAAAAGAAGAAATCCAGCATGGATATATTGTAGCAGCCTGGGTCCAATAAGGAGATAATAACCACACAGTAGACCAAACAGGAAAGTTTAATATAAAGAATTATTAACTATGATAAAATATAAGGACACTGTATGGTACCCTAAGGCTGAGGAAAGTACCAAAGGACAAACTTGGGAGGGTTTAAACATCCTTGGGAGAAGACGTGGTTCAGCCCATCAGATGGCGCAGAAGTTTGCTGGCTTGGTCAGGCCACAGGTGCTCTGCAGTCTCTGGGCAAGCAGCAGACAATCTTCCAGGCAGGGAAGCAGGCAGTCAGAAAATGGTGGCATGGGCAAGCAATGAGTGAGCATAGAGGGTGGGAACGTTCTGGGTTGCTCACTGGCTGCACAAGGGCTTGCAGAGGGAGTCAGGGTGTTTGTGGGGATAGGAGGACTTCAGGAACTGGTTTTCATGCAGAGAGGGCAGCAGAAAGGTTATCGCCAGGCCATGGCTACAAGGTCATAGAGGGGCTGCATTTGGGGCCCATGGCTACACAGAGCTCCACCTCATGTCCTCAAACCCACAACTCTGACCCCCATACTATAGCCAAAAACTGCAGGAGCCTCTTGCTTCTGCAATGTCCCTCTTGAGAAAGCTTAACATCATGCTCACTTTAAAGGAAAAAAATGCTTAAAGGAATTCTGTTGTTTAATCACAGGGCATATATTAAAAGAGTTCACCTGGTGATGAGAGGCAATAAATTAATAACTGACACATTCATATCCCTGTTGCCGTCGAGTTGATTCCGACTCATAGCAACCCTACAGGACAGAGTAGAACTGCCCCCATAGTGTTTCCAAAGAGTGGCTAATGGATTCAAACTGCTGACCTTTTGGACACATTCATATACACATAAATATTCCTGACCATTTGTCCCTCAGTAATTAATGCTTAAATACATGATTCACAAAATATGATAAAAATTTGACTTTATTTTTTTACCTCCATGGTTCCTTTAAAAATGAATGCAGGGGTGGTTAATTGTTCCCTGCCCTGGATGAGAACTCCAGCAAGACAGAATTAAAGATAATCCCATGTTGATGTGACTTCCGTCAGGATTACCCAATAAGCAAGGTACACACGGGCTTACGTGTGCTTACTTACTAATGTCGTGCACAATTTCACCTGTTTTTCACCACATCACAGAGCAGGACCAGGTTCGTTCCAAAGAGCAGCCCTGACAAACAAGTGGGATTCCACAGGCAGCACTGCCTTCCCTTGCCCCCAAAGTTTCTGGCATATTGGGAAGGCTAATGAGGGATAAATTAAGGTGCCATTGAATCAATCAAAAATCTAGTTGCAAGTAACAGGCAGACTCTGGATGATCAAGGCAGAAAAGGAGTTTATTAAAAGGATATGGTGAACAATCTGACACATTGTGAATGTGGGTCATTCTACAAAGAAAAGGGGTTTGGACTTTTCAAAATAGCCAATGTCTTGAAAAACAAAATGGGGGGACTGAGCAGCGGACAGTTGCAGATCAAAAGAGATACAACTAAATGTAATGTATAAATCTTGATTAGAGCCTGAGTCAAAAGGGGAAAACAAACAGCTATAAAATATACTTTCGGTGACAACTGGGGAAATCCAAATATGGATTACTTACTAAATGATGAACTTACTGTTAATTTTCTTAGACATGATAATGTCATGGTGAGAGAGAATATCCTTATTCATAGAAGATGTATGCTGAAGTACTTAGTGTGAAGAGTTATGAAATCTGAAAGTTAATTTCAAATGATTCAAACAAAAATATAAATATATGTATGTTTGTATTTATGTGCATAGAGGCAAGTATAGAGAATGTATGAATGTAGCAAAAATGCATCAAACAACTGGTAAATCTAGGCAAAGTGTATATCGGTATTTAGTGTACTATTTTTTTCAATATGTCTATATATTCGAAATTTTCCAAAATAAAAATTTGAGATAAATAAACATAAATAAAGACAAAGAACTTTATAATTAATAAAAGGGTTGAATGTCTCATAGAATCACTGAGAAGTACAAAGAACCAGGCTCAAGAATAACACCTAAAACTACTTCCAGAAATATTCTCACGAGAATTCTGCCAAGCATCAGACACTGGTTTGTGTTTCTGCCACTTTGCCGCCAAAGATTTAACTCTGAAGTAACTGCTGCTTTGCCAGAGTCTTGTCCCTTCTCTGACTCAGTGGTTTTCAACTTTGGCTGCACACTGCATACCTGGGGGCTTTAAAAAATAATGATGCCTGGGCTCCAGGCATCGGCTTTCATTGGTTTGAGGTGGGGGCCTGGACTCCACAAGTGATTCCAATACGCAGAAAGGGCTGAGACCCACTGGAATAAATAAATGACTGATTCAGATGAAAAAATTTTACTTTAAGATTTGGTGGCCCAAGGTTCTGATATATTGTCTTTGTTAGTGTTAATACATGAATTGTTGCACATTTTAAAGTGCTCAACGTGTAAGAGCTTAATCAATTAAATGGAAAGGGCCAAAATATCTTCTAAAGGGAAGATCTGACATAGTCATGTTATGGTTAAAAAAAAAAAGTTTAAATGACCAGGCTGAATTGTAAATGGTTAACGCTGGGATTGTAAGAGGTATTGCTATTTTAGTTACACATTTCCCTAGAGGGAATCATAATGGTTGATGTATATGCATATTTTAAAGCAAATGACTTAAGCTATTAACATGAAGCTCAGTCTATGCTCCCGAAGACTGAGGGCATTAATATTTCAAGCCTTAGAGATACTACAAAAATGGAGAAGCAGCCAGCCCGTGTGTCTGCCCCTCCCTCCGTGGCCTCTCCAATGGCTCTGGGAACAACCACTGCCAGCGCTGAATGTGCAGCAAAGTCCCATCCAGAGCCCTGGCTCATCAAAGGTCCATGTCTTCCCCTTGGTTTCCCTCAGGGGCTGTGGAAAGTGTAGGTGGAGGGAGAACTGAAGCCTCCTTTTCACTATCACTATATCAGCAATTTAAAAAAAAACAAAACAAAACTTCATAAACACTCAAAATGGCTTCAGAGCAGAAGTGTAGGTGGAGGATCCAGGGACTGCTTTTAGCACTGCAGTGGGTCATGGAAGACAGAAACCCTCTGTTGATTAGCAGGTAGAGGCAGCCAAGGAAGGAAGCCTGGCCAATCACTATGATGGTGAAGTGAGAAAAGGGCGAGACAGCCAGTTTGGATTGAAATGTGCTAGCACTACAGGCCTCTGCCCCTCGCTCTGCAGAAAACTTATTCTCCAACCTCTGGGCCTCCAGTACAAAAACTGCTGCCACCCTGGGACATAGGGGCTGGGTGCTTTCTGTGCTGAGAAGTGGAATGAGGGCCTTGCTTCTAGCCACTGCCAGTGCTACAGAGTAAGGAAATATATTCAGACATTCCTATCTGAAAACCGAGCAATCTTCTCTACAGAAATTCCACAAGATGTAGTAAGTAGGTTCAGATTTATTTTGTGTCAACTATTAGGTATATGTGGACTGGTCTGTATCTCTGTGCTATCCAATATAGGAGCCACTAGCCAATTAATACTTGAAATGTGGTTAGTGCAATTGGGGAATTAAAATTTTAATTTAATATTAACTAAAATAGCCACATGTGGCTAGTGGCTACCAATTGAACTATGCAGTTCTAACACTTCATAGCTCAAAACCAGTGGTTTCTTCACAGAACTTATCTAATCATTACTGAGAGAAGGGGAGAGGGTGTAGAAAGAAAGGAAAGCTGTCAACAGATCTATTTGACCACTTAAACAAGATTCAAAATTCTCCACTGCTTCCAGAGACAGGATGGCACCACCTGCTGCGAGGACTATAAGGGAAGGACTCTTGAGGAGACTTTGGTATGCCCTTCTAACTCTTGGCTGATGCGAATGGGAGTAAAAGGCTTAGGATTTTGGTCACTCAGATGGGATGACACCTAAGGTTCAACACACAGAATCAGAGGCTTGGGCCACCTTTGGGGGTCATCTATGCATGGAGATCACCAGTGTGGCATGACTGGCAGAGAGCTAGAGGCAGGAGGGCTCACTTCCGGACAGGGTTTCCAGAGCCAGAGGAGGATTTAGAGGTGGAGGGACCTGGTGGCCCTTTCTGGGCACCTGCAGGCTGCACAGGCCCTTTCTTTTTGGGGATTAAGGCCTTGTTCTTGCTCTTGAATACTTTGCTGGGATCCAGCTTGTTCACAAAGGAGTCGGTCTCTTCTGTGAGCAGGTTTGTGTTGTAGGTGATGGGTTTATACATGTTGAACCATTGCTGTAGGGCAGAATTGGGAGAGAGGATCACGAATCAAAGGAGAAATGCTACTCTTTATGCTATTAAAAAAAAAAAAAAACAAACTCATTGCCATGGAGTCGATTCTGACTCATAGCGACCCTACAGAACAGAGTAGAACTGTCCCACAGAACTCAAGGAGTGGCTGGTGGATTAGAACTGCTGACCTTTTGGTTAGCAGCCAAGCTCTTAACCACTGCACCACCAGGGTTCCTTATGCTATTTAGGGTGCAAAAAAGGGAAAGCAGAGATAGCGGGGTGGAGGAATAGGGAACTAGGGAGATACCGCTGAGAGAGAACAGAGGTGAGTTTTTTTTGAAAAACTGCCTTGTAAATCTGTTAGCACTTCTTTAAATGAAAGTGATGACAGATCCAACAAACCCTGGTAAGACATACATATTGCTTTCTGTAGCCCCATAACCTTTACAATAAATGCAGTTTGAGAATTAAGAATCTGAGTAAACTCCCTTCTTTCTAAGCTAGTGAACCCTAAGCCTGGGGTGCCACATGTCAAATCATTGGGGTGCTACATCTCAAATCAGTGTCATTTTAATTTTTCTTCCTTCAACTTAGGGAGCCCTGGTGGTGCAGTGGTTAAGAGCTTGGCGTCTAACCAAAAGGTCGGCAGTTCGAATCCACCTGCTGCTCCTTGGAAACCCTATGCAGCAGTTCTACTCTGTCCTATAGGGTTGCTATGAATTGGAATCGACTTGACGGGTATGGGTTTTTTGGGCCCTCAACTTAGCCACTACCCTCCCACAGGGAGCTGCGTGACAGAGGCCAGCTGCCTGGGTTGGTGCTCTCTTCCCTACTGGTTCTCTGGGCAGCTGAGGCAAAGGACATCCACATCTACTGACCTTTAACTGATCACAACCACCCTCACAATGTTGACTGGGTAGATGTTATCATTATGTGACACTTAAGGAACGTGTACTGATGGGGAATGAGCTCCATGATAAGAGTGTTAAGTGAAAAGAACAAGAAGTGGAACAATGTGAGCAATATATTGCATTTATAATTTAGAAAAAAGGAAACAAAAAACAATATGCACACACTCATGCTTTATATGCATGGAAAAAACTGGTAACAGTGGCTGACTCTGGGGAAGTACAATAGCAGGTTGGAACATTTCTTGCAGATCAGTATAAGGTGAGGTTGTCCACCTGCACTGGAATCAGCTGCCTCGCTTATTGAAAATGCAGGTTCTGGGCTCTACTCTAGATCTCCTGAATCAGATGGTGAAGCTGGGAATCTGCAATTTAACCATTTCCTCAGATTCTTGATACACAACACAGTTTGAAAGAACAAGTGTCTTTCCCTTACCTTGACCTGTGGGCTAATGCCATAGCTGGTGAAGGCATACTGCCACTGGGGCAGGCCCAGGTGGGTGACGAGCAGGCGATAATAGGCGGTAAAGGTGTCTGTGAGAAAATGCCAGTATAAAGCTCTGTCCAGGAACCAGATCTCAGTGTCTTGCGCTAATCCTGAAATAGTAGACAAAGGAAATAAATGATAAAGGATGGCTTAAACTTTTCCCCCTTTATTTATAAAGCTATATGTACTCATGGTTTAAAAAAAAAGTCCAGCAGTAGAGAGAATGTCAAATAAAAAGTGGAAAGTTCCTTCTTTTCTCTTCTAACGTCCTAGTCCCATTCTCCAGTGGCCACTGTTACCAGTTTCTTTGGTATTCATCTACAAATTCTACAAATTCTCCAACGATTGATCAGTTGATTGATCTATCTGCTGGGCTTTGTCCATCCGGAAGTGCACTGAGGCTATCTAAGGAGAAGCTCCTTTGTGTGGAATCAGCATGCCCTCCCCTAATCTGTACCTACTGTGGTCTCTGCTTTCCTGATGGAGACAAATTCTGGATGGCTCTGGCTTTCACGAAGAGGTCTTTCTCAGGAATGAGTCAGTAGTGCTGTGAGACACCGCCATGGTGGAGCCTAGACCAGCCCACTCTCCTGTGCTGTTGAGTGATGTCCCGGTTGAGCTGAAGCAGGCACTACAGGGTCAGCTCCTGCCTTGCTCCTGTTTCTGATGCTATCCTAGTTCATCTTGTGTCTAGATAGCTGTCACAACTCCCTCCATCCTCCAGTCTCTTCCTTTTTTAAAACTGCTTGTGGTCACATACATTTTCATTTGAACCCTGCCATTCTTCTGCTAAACAGCCTTAACTGACTCCCTGCTGTCTTCCACATTGTGTCCAAACTCCTTTGACTGGTTTTCAAAGCTTCTCATGAAGAAAGCAAATGGTTTTATCTCTTCACCCACAAGATGAACCATGTAGCCCAGTGAATTTAAACTGTCATTCCCCTAAATCATTGTACTTTTCCACGGCATGGCTTTTTTGTCCCTTTGCTTGGATAGTTGGATGTTCTCTTTACCCCACCAAATCCCACTCACCTCATATCTAACTCCTATCGATACTTCAAAAGGAGCCCTGGTGGTGCAGTAGTTAAAGCACTGGGCAGCTAACCAAAAGGTTGGCAGTTTGAACCCACCAGCTGTTCCAATGGAGAAAGATGTGGCAGTCTGCTTCTGTAAAGATTTCAGCCTTGCAAATCCTATAGGGCACTTCTACTCTGTCCTATAGGGTCACTATGAGTCGGAATCGACTTGATGGCAACGGGTTTTGGATCCATAATTCAAGGTGCAGCTGAAAAACTACTGTGCTAGGGTGCAAAGAGGTTTTCTGGGTCTTGGTGCTTACAGGAGACCTGGCAGCATCTCAGGAAGCCACAGAAGAGCGTGCCTTTTTGTGACAGCTGGCGAGCAGAGGCAGCCAAGGCCATCCTCAAACTATAGGACCATACTTGTAAATGATACTTACCTGGTTTCCCACTTTTGTAGACAAGGCAAACTTTCCCATTTCCATTGCAAGAATCTAGCTCAAATATCACACTGCGAGAGTCAAAGTGAGGCTTCTCTGGTTGGTCCTCATTGGCTGCAAACCCAGAAGTGAAAAGTCATGTTCAAAGATGCTCATCGCAAACATGTACTTACTCATCCAGCTTTGCTAGGATGAAAAAACAAGGGGAAAAGGCCTTACCTTAGGCATATTCCTAAATATGATTTTCAAATGTGGGCCAAATACCCTAGCTTTCATCCATGGAGTAGGCTTCCTCTCTGGGATCCCACATCATCAATCAACAGGGTCAGGGAATCTAGGGGAAGGTGGCATGGGGAAAACAAACCAAACATTTTGGGAGTGGGACTACATAAAGACAGAGTAATCTGAATGGCCTGATGTTGACATAATTTTTTTCTTTTTCCCAGATAAGTGTTTTCCCCTCACTTATAGTGTTTTATGGTCTTTTGATTAGAATTCACTTTGCCCTGAATAATATGTATATTTATAATATTTAATTATAATGTTATAAAGTGCTAAGTCTGGTTCAGATGGAAATACTTACTTAGAAACCAAATATAATGGAGTAACAGTAAAGATAAAGTCTTAGAAATGTAAGCATCAGAAACTTTCTCTCCTGCTTCTTTCATTATAGCTATTATGAAAAAAGATTAGTATAGTCACTCGAGTGAGGGTAGTTTAGAAATCTAAGAGACAGTAGATAATCCATACAAAAATAATGTTTATTTATTTATATATATGTCCATACATACATATAATTCCATATAAATACATAAATATTTATATTTCTAATTTAAAAAAATTTTTAATTGGCTTTCCTGTCCCCCAAAGGTAATACTTTCATATTCTTCTTGATAATCATATGGTCCTAGACAGACATATAGCTATACACTTAAATGTTGTCTTCAAGATTGTTTATTGTATAAGAATGGGATATCTTTGATTTATTCTAATAATTTATTTGTACATTTCTTTGGATTTCCTACATAGGTAATCATACCAACTGTAAATAAGGACTTAGGTCTGCTTCTTGAGTTACCCGAGAAAGCAGGAACATGGCAGGTGTCACAAGTGGTTTTTATTCCCATGGATATATGGGACAATATGGAGCCTACCCCTAGCTCAGTCCTTGGCTGAGGCCCCTTGAATGCTCTCTGTTACCGAGTCTACATTTACTCTTTCGGCCTCAAGGGCAGGGAAGACTCAGCTCACCTGCTCAACAACTTCACCTTTTAGGGGTTAAAGAGCCTGAGACACAGGAGGCCAATGTGACCTTCTCCCCACCCTCTGGGGTTCTCACATATCTCTAAGTGACAGGGTCTTCCCAGGAGTCATCACTTTGCAAGCTTTACTCCTGGATTCCTTTGGTGCTATTCTCCATTTGCTTGCCCAGTTGAGGGGGAAAAAAAAACCCACCTTGAATCAGTTCTCTCTACCAGGATTTCAATGACCCCCAAGGCCTTAATGTGGAAGACAATCCTAGTTGCGTACTCAATATTCATTCTCCCTTTCTTTCTTAGTAATTAAACCCTGATTCTGTTTGCGGAGGCAATGGCACACAGCTAAAAATACTCACATCCTCAGACTCCCTTGCAGCTGTCCTGTTTTGGCTAATGGGATGTACGCAGAAGTCTATTGGGAGGGGTGTCTGAGAAAACTATTGTTTTCTTGATAAAAAGGGACAGATTCTTCCAAGAGACACTTTTTTTTCTTTTGACTTTTATTCTTCTTTTTTCCTGCCTGGAACATAGACTGGAAGCCTGGAGGTGGACTGCACATTCCTAGGCCATGAGAATGAAAACCATACCCAAAGGCTGGTGTACCAGGAAGCCAGAGGGAGGCTACATCATCGACTTTCTCAAGCAGCTGTGCTAGTTTAGTTACAGATTTCTTGTTATGAGAAGAACAAATTCCTATTGAGTTTAGACATTGTAATTGGGTCTCTGTTTTATGCAGTTAACACAGTTCTGATAAAAGAAGTGCTCATTTATACTCAGTTGCTCATAGGTTTTAGCAGCCATTTGACTTAGTATGAGCCATTTCACTCAGAAGTGACAAGCAGCTCATAGGCAGGAAAGGAGAGGAAGGGAGCTGCATTTAGACTGCCATGTTCCCTGAATGCTCTTGATAGAGTAATGTTAGTGAAGTTTGATCTGTAACTTTCATTCATTCACCAAGTATTCATTAAGTGCCTATTATGTGCCAAACATGGATCTGGGTGCTGGGAACAAAACAGACTAAGATCCAAATCCTGGGATTTTCTTCATGAAAATTTCCTTTGTTGATAAGGCTATTCTTTACTTTATTCTCGGGGTTGTAAGAAGACATGAATGGGAAGAGTTTGGTTTGGGAGAATATATTACAATGTCACAATGTCCTCCCCATGGTTTTCAGTATCGTAAACAGGAGACAAGCAGGATGAATTCTAACCCAAAGCGAAAGTTCCTCTAAGTACCTTCATCTGTATCGTCCTCCAGGTCTGCAAGAGTTGGTGCATTAGGAAGTGAATACATGGAAGACTGGTTAAGTTGACTCAGTTTTGAGATGCTGTTAATTACCATGCTTCCCAATGGAATGGTGTGATCTATGGGAACATTAAAAAAGAGAGTTACATGGAATAACAGCCTAGTTACAATGCTCATCATAAGAGCTTTTGCTTGAGTACTCTAAAGCCCAGCTATTGTTTGGTCTCAGGACAAAGAAATCTGATGAAGGGTAAAAGGAAGAGAATCACTACTGCATTACATGACCCAAAGCACCAACATTGCATGCAAAAAAAAAAAAGAAGCAATTGGGGTGTTGAGTGAGTCTCCACTGCATGTGTTAGGGTGGAATGTTGGGAAATCTGGATAAGGGGCCCAGTTGAAAGGTAAAGGATTCAAAAATATTTTCCTTCCCTCTTTCCTTTGTTTAACAAGCATTCTGCATAAAGTTACGCTTTCCAAAGGAGTAATGTTGTTGTTGTTAGGTGCTGCTGACTCATTTTCGATAGTGACCCCATGTGATTTTCTTGGCTGTAATCTTTATGGAAGCAGCTTCCCAGGTCTTTCTCCTGTGGAGCCGCTGGGTGGGTTTGAACCACTAACCTTTTGGTTATCGACCAAGCGCTTGTTAAAAGCATTCGTGATGGAAAATATCTCCGCTTCTATCTGTCATTTTCCTTTATTCCATGCAGAGAATGGTGGCAGCCTTCTTGCTTGGTTCTAGTCTTCTGTGATTAGGATGTAAATAAGGAATACACAGACTGCATATGTTCCTTATCTATTACATATAATCCTTGTAATAATAGGATGCCCGAAATGGGATGACACACAAAGACTTAGAAATCTGACTGCTGAAGAAATCACAACGGTTGAAGGCAGTAATGTAGCTGGTATACAGACTACAGAATGTCTAAAAAGAAAAGACCACCAAAGAGATAAACATAGAAGCTGTCTGTTGTCTTTTCTGTTACTGACTTTCGCTATTCATTAAAGAGTGGGATAAGAAGACTGGCATTGGGAAGATTAGATTAGAGAAGGTATTGCATTATGAACAGGGACTCATTCACAAAATCTTCATGAAACACTATTTTCCTCTGAGGCAGGCTTATGACAGCGCTAGACTGTCCCCATGATGTGAGCAAGGGAGAATCTGACAGTCAGTCTAGTCTCTGTCTGCTTTATTGTCCAAAGGTCAGGCTACAAGGGTGGGTTCTGATGATGATGACAAGAATGGTTCCTGGGCCACTGGAGGAAATGGTTCTAAGTTTAAAGCTAACTAAGTGTTCAGTGGTAGCCATAAGAAGTGCCTCTGGCCAGCGCTATATGACAGAGACAAGAAGGCTTTGGGAATCACCAAAAAATGGAACCCAGATGTATAGGCAGGAGGCCAAAGAAGAGAAGTCAGTTCTGTACATGTGCTGTGCAACAGAAGTCACTGCATTCTTAGGGATAGCAGGGGGAGGTGTAGGTTGCTTCCCAAGGACCATAGAAGATCTAGGAATGATTCAAAAACTCAGAAGTTGAAAAGGCCCTCAGAGTTGTCTCATCTAATCTCTCAGCCAGGGAAACATTCCCCTGCAGCAAGAAGGCAGACTCACCATCCAGCTTCACACTCCATGTCATGTGGAAGCCATTGGTCATCAGGTAAAAATTCTTCACATCCTCAGGCAACGCACAGTTATTTTTCTACAATCACAAAGCAGCTGAGTGTTAGGTAAGGGCTGGGAAAGAGGGTACAGGGCTATGCCTCAAAGCAGATGGGGACACTATTTACCATGTTTCAGATCCTGAAACTAGGAAGACTCTGATAATTACCCAACAAAATTCTATCAGAGCCACTGAGGTCTACAAAGCAGAGTCACTGGTTTGTTCTCTTTTTTGCCTCACCAGACAAGGTAGACTAGCTGTCTACTCTGTCATGATGCTGCCTCAACAGAGAGCTGTTTGGGAAGGAGTTCAAAGGGAACTGGCTGAAGAAGAGACTTAGAGGAAGTCGGTGAAGTCCTAGGCAAAGTTTCAGAATGTTGGAGCAAAGTAATTATTGACATAAATTTCAGATCTATGCTCATAAATTATTTTCTGAAACAAATTATTGGAGAAATGAGAACATCTTAAAAGTAGAGAGTATGTACTGTTACACCATTTAATGCAATGAGCCTATTCTAATAGTTTTGACAGTTCTTTGAAAGAAAAAAAACAAAGTGCAATGGGATATAAAAAATTCATATGGATAACAAATCATCCAAGCTGGTGGTGGAGAGAACAAAGGAATAGCTTAGTACTTTCTCAGGAAGTACTAGGAGCAAGCCCTAAATTCTAAATAATGTGTTAAGTAGGAAACCCTGGTGGTGTACTGGTTAAGAGCTATGGCTGCTAACCAAAAGGTTGGCAGTTTGAATCCACCAGGCACTCCTTGGAAACCCTATGGGGCAGTTCTACTCTGTCCTATAGGGTCGCTATGAGTCAGAATCAACTCCACAGCAATGGGTTTGGTTTTTTGGTTTATGTCTGTGCACATGCCTGACTAGTATTCTCTTCTCTAGCCAACTCAAACCACTGGTGTGCACAGAAGGCTGAGTTCTTCGATTGCTTTCCTGGGCCCCTTACAGTGACTTCCTGACATGGTTATGGAGGTAAAAGGGCACTATGTTAGTAACTCTTACTGGACCCTTTGGTAATATGACACTGACCATTGCTTATGTCAAGTTTCTTTAGGCCGTACTGTCAGTCAGTTTTAGATACCAATGTGTGGGGAAGTATGGTATAGCAGGATAATCTGAGTTCACTTCCTAACTGCCACTATCTGAGTGACCTGGAGCATGTCACTTACACTCGGCAACTCTAGTTGAAGAATAATCTCTGAGTATACAAAACGCAGGAGGTGGAAGGGGATGTGAACTGGCTTGGAAGGAAGACAGAAGACTAGGAAATTATTCCGATTTGAGACCACAGCATTCTCAAGAACTATAGGTGAGAAGACAGCTTCAAGCTTGCAGATGATTTTAACCAACGCCTTTAGGTTACTAAATGGACAACAACTGTCATTTTAATGAAATAAGTTTTTAATTTCCGTGATCTAAAAATTAAAATATGTATTCTGATTAGGTTTGTTTTTCCCTCTTCACCACCTAGTACCCAATCTCACAGATGTAAAACCTAAGGGATTCTCTGACTCCTGGGACTAACTGATTTATTTAAGGTTAGCCCTTATTATCTCCTGTATGGCTAAATTCTCTGTGCTTTCAGAAAAGAAAAAATGTGCATGCAGAATGCCTTTCTCAAACACCAGGACCCTGGCATAAGAAGCCTACAGTAATCAGTGTTCTGACAAGGTTCTTGGTCCTTCTGTGGCCCAAAAGACCAGCATCCACTCCGTGATTTTGGTCATTAGTGCCATCTAGTGGTAGAAACAAGGAAACCATTGTCTACCAGCCCTTTTTGTTTTTCGTGTTCAACGAGGTATGTTGCTTTTTGATTGAATGAATGCAAAACCAGTTCTAGTTGCTACTTCTTTTTTCTAAAAAAAATTTTTTAGTTTTTTTATCTTTTGTATATTTCTGTTGTTGTTGAGAACATACGTGGCAGAACACACCCCAACAATTTCTAATGTACAATTCAATGACATTGATTACACTCTTCGAGTTGTGCAACCATTCTCACCCTCCTTTTCTGAGTTGTTCCTATCCCATTAACATAAACTCACTGCCCCCCTAAGGTTCCTATGTAATCTTTCAAGTCGCTATTGTCAATTTGATCCCATATAGATAGATCTTAAAAGACCACACTGCTCAAGGAAGACATTCTTTACTAGTTAAACTAAACTATTGTCTGGTTTTAAGAATACTTCAGGGGATATTTTTAGTTTAAAGTTTAAAGATTATCTCAGGGCAATAGTTTCAGGGGTTCTTCCAGCCTCCACGGCTCCAGAAAGTCTGGATTCCATGAAAATATGAAATTCTGTTCTACATTTTCCCCCTTTTGATCAGTATTCTTCCACAGAATCTTTGATCAAAATGTTCAGTAATGGGCTGGAGCACGAGGAAGAAGGAAAGTCTAGAAAAGGAGAAGGAAATGGAATGTGTGGCTAATTGCCTCCATGAACAACTGCCTCCTTTTGCCATGAGACCAGAAGAACCGGGTGGTGGCCAGCTACTAGCCTTTCTTAATGATGATTCTACAAGAACCCAGCTGAAAAGGGCTGGTAGACCATTCAGCATTGTTCGTCTTTAAGTTAAGTGGGAGAATTTCAGTAGTAGTGATTGTAACATTTATTATGGCATTTATTTCACTCAAGAAGGAAATTTTGGTATTATTTTATCCAGTATTTAAAAAATACTCAGAATTCATAAAAATAGAAAAAAATCTGTGAAATCAAGTATTTAATACATTTAGTATTTATAAATACTAAAATTTATAAACAAACTGTCAAGTAAAAAAAATCATAAAAAACATTAATCCTACATTGTCATTCTAATATAAATTACTGGTGGCCCCTGGCTCTGCTGCTTCCTTGGTGCTTTCTCCTGGGGAGAAAGTCAAGAAGGGGGAATAAAAGTGCTGACCAGTGTACAAAATAATAGTGTTGCATTAACATAGAACTGCAGTCTCTATCTAGCCCAATGATAACTCCAACACATATCTCCCAATTATTAACATTTTTTCCCTCTCCCAAGGAAGTGATCTATAATAGTTTCATTAAGCTACTACAGAAAAAGTCCACCACAAGCTGTGTTACTGCTTCATCATTAGAAGCCACTCATGGTTTGTGAGCTATTAGCTGGATTCCCAGAAAACCTTCATAGGCACTGCCAGAGCCTCAATGGAAGGGCTAAAGTTAGTCACTGCCTCCTGCTCATCTTCTCTATGTCTGGACAATCCTGCCCCCCACTGCTCCCTCTCCTTTTAGAGGTCATTTGATCAGGGAAGGGAGCTGGGTGGCAGATGCAGGATTGCTTGCAAAGAGGGTGTTATGGAATGAATTGTGTCCCCCCAAAATACGTGTTGGAATCCTAATCCCTATACCTGTGGATGTAATCCTGTTTGGAAATAGGGTTTTCTTTGTTATGTTAATGAGCCATATCAGTGTAGGGTGTGTCCTAAACCTGATCAACTTCTGAGTTATAAGGAGCAGCACAGACACAGAGACAAGCAAGCACAAATTCAGGGAAGACAGATGCCACATGAAGATTGCCAAGGAACTGAGGAACATCAGGGCTACAGAAGCTGAAAGAGAAAAAGATCTTCCCCAGAGTTGACAAGAGAGCCTTCCCCTATAGCCAGAACCCTGAATTCAAACTTCTAGCCTCCTGAACTGTGAGAAAATAAATTTTTGTTCTCTAACTCTTTTGTGCCTAGTGGTACGTATAATGACCATGAACTTTATCAGGCTCTGGGGTTTATTGGGAAGCTGCTGTACCACTGACAGCACGTGCTGCTGAAAGGCAGGGGCCTTTATGATTGTTTGAACAAACGAGTGTGTGCTGCAAATTACTGTTTTTACAGGGTGTTGTATGAGGTGTGTGAATTTTTGGTAGGAAAAACAGAAATTTTGAAAATTTTTATTCATTACACATATACACCAATAGACCCGTGGGGGACTCGGGGGTATAATTAGTTGTACTTCATATGTACCACTAAATACTTAGTGTAGGCTTGTGGGAGGGGGCAAGAAAAAAAAAATCCAAACTACCTACCAAAAATTCAGATACCCATAATGATTTCGCTGGTGTGCTTCCATTAATGAAAACACATGGTATCAACAAAAAATTCACAGCAGAAAATAATTGGGTTACCAAAGGATTAAAGTCGCCCACTTGTGGTATTTGTGTTACAGCAGCACTAAAAAACTAAGGGAGTCAGAGCATGAAAATTAATGTTTCTGTAGGTGCTTGACCATGCTGGGTAGGCTCTCCATGAGCCTGTTTGTGACCACAACCAGATCAAGGACTGCCCAGGATGCCCATCAAGGAGTAGCAATAAAACCGTGCTGGAAACGTGAGGCAATGAAGACAACTGCATCTATTAAAACTCCTCTCAGGAAGGACATCAATGTAGTGGAGGAAAAACCTAGACGGGCTGTGGAGGAATGCCGTGAGATCTCCCGGAGAAATCTTAAGTTTATTCTCAAACTCCCTTCTAAGGAGGGGTAGAGGGCCTGGTTAACTGGAATCTTTTGTTTTGCTAAGTGAGGTAGGACAGCTGGGGCCAGAGCTGAATCACTTAAGACTCAGAGTAGAGGCAACATACTCTTCCCAAAATGCTTTCTCCACACAAAACATCAGTCTCCCTCTAAAAACACATGGTGAAAAAATATATAAGTATTGGCTTGTGTGGGGGCACCACATGTCCTGGTGTAGCTCTGTGTATGGCCAACATCAGCCAAGACAGCTTCCAGAATAGCATTGCCCCCAGACTTAACCAATCATTGGGATTTTACAATCGGGGGAATTAGTAGGGGAAACCTTTGCACTTGCAGCCTCCTTGCTTTGAGGTGGTGGATGTGGTAGCCTCACTCTCAGGATTGAGATGAAGGGATGCTTGTGGGAAAGATGCTGGGTGACCTTGGGAAAGTTCTACACTCTTTCTGACCTTTTAAAAAGAAATCTAACTCACTCATTCATTTATTTGTTCATTCATTCATCTGACCTTTACTAAGTGTCTGTTATGGAATAAATACTGTGCTGAGC